CCTGCTTCATGTCTCTGCCTGCAGCGCCCCCCCATCCCCCATTCTAGAAGGTCCAGGGAGAACTAGGTTTAAACAACCTACCCAAGCCCTCCTCAGTTCCCACAACACTAGCTCCCTGCTCTCACTATGGGCCATGAGGGTCCCACAATCCAACAGAACAAAAGACTAAGTACAGAAGCAAGCTGGCTGACAGTTTCCATAGTTTGGAGCTATGATTACAAAGTTGCAGAGGAGCGGGGCAGTGGTGGTGCACACCTTTAATCCCAGCACTCCGAGGCAGAGGCAGGCGGATCTCTGTGAGTTCAAGACCAGCCTGGTCTACAAGAGCTAGTTCCAGGACAGGCTCCAAAGCCACAGAGAAACCCTGTCTCGAAAAACAAAACAAAACAAAAACAAACAAACAAACAAAAAGTTGCAGAGGTCACTGCATTTTGGCAATCCTAGGGTGTTGTGGTTGTCTGTGGTGGCAGAGTGGGGTCAATGAACACACTGACATTATAAGACAACAAAATGCAGGCCAGGCTGGCTTTGAACTCACAGAGATCTGCCTGCCTCTGCCTTCCGAGTGCTGGCATTAAAGGCGCGTGCCACTAACGCCTGGCCTACTATCATCATTATTTTAGGCAGGGTCTTACGTGGTAGCTCTGTCTGGCCTGGAACTCCATAAAGCTATATAGATCAGGGTAGCCTGGAACTCACAGAGATCTCCCTGTCTCTGCCTCTGATTACCGGGATTAAAAGCATGTGTCACCATTCCTGACACATCTTTTATTTTTTGAGACAGTATCTCTTGCTGAACCTGGTCACTGACTTGGCAAGACTAGCTGGCCAGTAAGACTAAGGAGTCTGGTGCTGGAAAGATCGTTTAGAGAGTACTGGTCACTCTCCAGAGGACCTGGATTCAATTCCTGTATCCACAGGCTAGGTCACAACCATCTATAATTCTAGTTCCAGGGAGACTGATGTCCTCTTCTGGTCTCATGTAGTTCTCAGACATATATACATGTAGGCAAAACATCCATGTATATTAAAACAAAACAAAACTCCAGACATTAAAAAAAAGAAGAAAGAATGCCAGGCGTTGGTGGTGCATGCCTTTAATCCCAGCTGAGGCAGGCTGGTCTCTGTTGAGTTCGAGACCAGCCTAGTCTACAAGAGCTAGTTCCAGGACAGCCTCCAAAGCCACAGAGAAACCCTGTCTCGAAAAACAAAAAAAAAAAAAAAAAAAAAAACCAAAACCCAGAAGAATTAGTAGTAGTAGTAGTAGAAGAGGAGGAAGAAAAAGAGGAGGAGGAGGAAGAGGAAGAGGAAGAGGAGGAAGAGGAAGAGGAAGAGGAAGAAGAAGAAGAAGAAGAAGAAGAAGAAGAAGAAGAAGAAGAAGAAGAAGAAGAAAGATCCCAGGATCTGCCTACCTCTGTATCTGAAGCACGGATTACAGATATGTGCCGTCACATCTGATTTTTTTTACCTGAGTGTGTGGGGGGGATGCAAACTCAGGTCCTCATCCTTGTACACCAAGAGCTACCCACACAGATCCTTCTACCCGAGGCCCATTACATGTAACACAGTGATGATGGAGTCATGGGTAAGGTTGACATGGGTAGTAACAAAGTGACAATATCGGCCCAAATGCTACAGTAAATTAACTACGTTACAAGAACAAGTTATTAGGGCTGGGCATGGTGGCCAGTGCCTATAGGCAGAGGCAATCTTTGCATCTTTGGCTACACACGGAATTCAAAGCCTGCCTAAGCTATACAAGACTCAACAATGAATGAACAAAAGAAGAGATGATCAGCTTTTTCACACTTCTCCCTGGCATGAGTACCCCTATGTGCTTTTGTTGTTTGACAGAGTCTCATGTAGCCCAGGTTGGCCTCAAACTTGTTAAGTACTTTACCTCCCTAGCACTGGGTTTAAAGGCACACAAACCTGTGGGCCACCGTGTGCATTTTCCAGATGGGAAAGCAGGGACGGAGAGGAATGATTTGGTGGCCAGGGTTATGCACAAACCCAGGCTATCATACCCCACACAGCGGAAATATGTAGAACGTGTACCCATGGAGGGGGGGGGGCTGTAAGGCTGGGTGGCCACTTGTGGGGACTGCTGGAGTCATGAGATACAGAGGATGGTGTGGTGTCAGGACCACTGTTGGAGACGCTAGGACGGTGTGAGGGGAACCCAAGGGGAGACGGAGACAGGAATTTTGGAAAGAGATGTTGTGTAAATGAGGGTTCATGAAGGAGGAACGACAACAAAAACGATGCGTGGGTAACAAAGACGATGATGACAGAAAGACGGATTGGCTCAGCATGCCTGTGAGCCCTGCCCTCAGGAGGCTGAGCAAAGGGATCAAGAATCCCAGGCCAGACAGAGATGCATGGTGAATTCGAGGTCAGTTTGTGTTCCAATGGGACCCTGTCACATAAACAGAGAGAAGTGCACATCTAGGGCCAATCAGGGCTTCAGGGGAATAAAAAAAAAAGAGTCACAAGGACGCCGGGCTGGAGCTGGCTCAGCAGTTAGAAGCACTGGTTCTTCCAGAGGACCAGAGTCAAGAAAGCCAGCACCCAGATCAGGTGGCTCACAACCATTTGTGACCACAGACACAGAGGATGCAGACGTCTTCTGACCTCCTCGTGCAACTGCAGCCACAGACACACAGATGGCTAGAAACAAAAATAAAATATTCCTCACGGCGGGGGCGACGTAAGGTAAGGTCAGGTCAGGGCGACAGAAGGGGGACGTGGTGACGGTTT